CCGGCCCACGATGTCTACTTTTCCTACGCCCAGAAGGATAAGGCCGTGGCCAGGGACATGATCTCTTATCTTTCTTCAAAGAATCCTTCCATTCGGATCTTTGAAGCTGAATCTCGCGATATTACCATCCGTAAGCAAGGTGTGGTCGGCAAACAGTATTATGGAAGCTGTTCCACAGTTATTCTTTGATGCCGCATGGCGAAGAGATTGGGCTGTTGACTTTAGGGAAATCGTTTTTGGTCCGAGAATTGGTGCTGGAGGATTTGGAGAGGTGTACAAATGCAAGTACGAGGAGAAGATGGTGGCGGTGAAGACTTTGCAAAAGGTGGAAGACGACGATCCGAATGCGCTTATGGGCGAATTTATGGTGGAAATGAAGCTGATGTCTAAGCTCCGACACTCCAACATTGCACAGTTCAAGGGAGCATGTATTCACGTTCCAAACTTGGCAATCATCTTGGAGTTTATGCCCGGGGGCAGTCTGTACCGCGCCATTCATCGCAGACGTAGAAATGTTCTTGGAGCGTTTCCGCTTCTCAAGATTGTGTGGATCGCATTTGGCGTAGCAAAGGGGATGGCATTCTTGCACGGCCAGTATCCTGTTGTTATCCATCGCGATGTCAAGTCACCAAATATTCTGCTAGGGACAAACGTTCGGGAAGTCAAGATCACGGACTTTGGGCTTAGCAGACTACGAGTCAACTCGTACATTAATACGGCCCGTATTAACGTACGAGTTGACTCGTAGGCGGTACTCCTGAATGGATGGCACCTGAACTTTTGAGACAGGACGCCTTCAACGAGAAATCAGACGTGTTTTCGTTTGGCGTAATTCTTTGGGAACTGGTCATATGTGAGAAGCCATGGCGTGATGAGCACCCCAGGCGAATTTTATACAAGGTTGGTAATCGGGGTCTCAAACTTCCGACGCCAGCGCCAGAACAATGTGGCCCTGAGCTTAGACAGATGCTTGTGCAGTGCTTTGCAGACGATCCCAGCCGACGACCACAATTCCGTAATATTGCTGCAAGAATAGAAGACATGTGCAAGCAATTTGATACCTAGAATGGATATTCGCGTGGATTACTCTACTCGGCTATGTATTGAGTCAATACATATTGAGTCAATACATAGCCGAGTAATCCACGCGATTATCATTCTAGATATCAAATTGCTGCTCCCGTTCGGGGCGACTAGACGACACTTTGATTATGCTCTCCTCCCAAATGCTCCCGTTCGGGGTGTCAATAGTATTGTCAATAGTACAATACTATTGGGAGCATTCGGGAGGAAATTTAAGAGAGCATAATAGGGGCAGAGATGCAAATCATGATAGCGTTAACAAGATTGTCATAAATGCAAGTGCTCCCAGGCCACATGGACCAAAAGCAAAGGGTCACATAGGCAGAAGAGAAACGATTCAGCTGGGGGCGCTTGCAATTTATCTGACGTTTGGCGATTTTACTGTGCGCAGGAAGCAGAAAACATTGAGGAGGATCGGCTACAGCGACAAAAGGCGGGGGAAAACGCTGCCCGGCAAAAAGAAAGAGAACTGCAGAAAGAACAGAAGGCAGAAGCGAAAACACTGATGGAACAAAAAAGGTTGGAACGTATGAAAGTGGCAAGGCCTCAAAGCCTGGCCACACGACCAAGAAGCGGGCACGATCAACTGCGGTTCCAAAGGCGCACAACACAATAGCCCCTCCCCAAAGTGCGTCAACTCCTCATCATTCCCCATCAACGTTTCCGCGTCCGCGTTGCTCGGTCTTTCTGGTGCCAGTCAAATTACCAAATAGACCTTTTTCCAAAAAGCTGTGTATTGCCGCACCAATAAAAGGAAATTCGGGGTGTCTCTGACCCAATACGGCTAGAGATTCTGTATCTCCTCAGTTGATTAGCAAAGCAAACGCAGAGCATCATCCATCACCACCAGTCTGACCTCATTTAATTTAAACATAATTTAAAAAATATGTTACCAAATTATACTTTCAGGGAAGGGTAACAGTTACACGCTCTAGCGTGTACAGAGACAGAGTGTGTAAGGTAGAGCGACGCTTGCTTGCAGGCGGTATATAAGGGATATAGCTTATCCCTTATCTACCGTCGTCTTCGACCAAGTCGAGGAGAGTGCACTCACATCACAACCTCATGTCGCCGCGCTCCCGCCGGCAGCAAGCGCGCCATGGGCGGCACGAGACGGCGCCGGCAATCACGGCGAGCGTGCAGCGGTCGGCGCTCTACCCGCCGGACGGCAAGAGGGCGCGCAAGAAGCGCGCAGAGGACGTGACGCTGACGGCGACGGCGCTGTACAACGACATGATCTGGGCGGTGGAGGACTTCCTGACGGCGGGCGAGTGCGCGGCGTGGGTGGCGTACGGGCGTCGCGCGGGGTTCTCCGCGTCGACGCAGGCGGCGACGTCCGAGACGGCCTTCCGCGACAACGGGCGCGTCGAGGTGTGGGACGAGGCGGCCGCGCGCGGCATGTGGGAGCGCGTGCAGCGCGTGCTGCCGCCCGCGCTCGCGCGCGGCGCGCCCGTCGCATGCTTCCCCAAGATCAGGCTGTACGAGTACAAGGAGGGGCAGCGGTTCGGAAAGCACGTGGATGAGTCCGTGCCGTTCGGAGAGATGGAGACCGGGGCCACCGTGCTGGTGTACCTCGGCGAGGAAGGGTTGGAGGGCGGGGAGACGGTGTTTTACGACGGAAGGACGGATGACAAGGTGGTGGTGGAGTATAGGCCGAAGAGGGGGAGCTTGCTGCTGCACGGGTACGTTGTGACAAGGTGTTGGTTTTGCGGGCGGGATGTGCGGGCGGGATGTGCAACAGGCGCTGACGTTTTTGTTTGCTTTTTGGCTTGTTTGCGGTTTTATCAAATATCTACACGACAGACACGGGGAGTTGTGCCTGACTCACGAGGCGCGAGCCGTGACGAAAGGCACCAAGTACGTGTTGCGGACGGATGTGGCGTACGCTCGGGATGAGTGAGAAAAGGGAGAAGGGTGGCGGCGGCAGCAGCAGCAGCGGCGGCAGCAACGGCGGAGGGCTATTCCTCAGTTTTTTCCTCGGGCGGAGCGATGAGCTCGAGCTCGCTCTCGGCCAAATGGGCCTTGAAGCGGGGGTGCTTTTCCTCAAAGTGGACCATGTACGGCATAGTGGCGGACATGGGGACGTCCTTGGTGACGGATTTGTCACGGATGAGGATGCCTTCGTAGCCCTCGATGTCGATGGGGGTGTTCTGCTGGCCCGGGAAGTGGTACATGATGACGGAGCAGGCGACGCGGACGCGGGAGCCGATCTCAAGCGTCATGCACGGGGCGGCGCGCGGGGCGAGGGCGGCGCGCGGGGCGAGGGCGGCGCGGGCAGAGGGGGATCGGAAGGGCAATGGGACAGGGGCGAGGAAGGCGGGGAGGGGCATGGTGACGGAGTTACCCGTGGTGGGGTGGGAAGGTAAGGCGGCAGGCGGGAGACCTGGAATGCATGGGGGGAGCGCGGAGCGGCTTTACCGCAAG